AGCAGCCAGCTCTTTCTCTTCTCTCAGGTCCTCTAGTGGCCGGTACTGAGATTCCCATCACAAATCAGATTGGCTGGACTTGTCTGTCTTCCTTAAGCTCCAGGTTTAGTTCACGTTCATCTTTCTTAAGAAAAACCTGAGCCAAGCGGCGGGTTCAAAGGGACAGGTCAGGAGGAAGAAGGAGGACAGGCAGCTGGAGAGCTGAGTGCCTGCTCTCCAGACACACAAGCCCTTATTCAGTCACTGTTCCCACTTTCTCCTCCTCCAAGGCTCAGGTTTGGAAAGCAGACTTTTCACGCCAGAGGCTCGGTGAGCTTTCAGAGCCCAGGGGGCCTGCGCCCGGAGCCACAACACCCAAGTCTGATCCAACTTCCTCTGCCGCCCACGATCAAAGGCAGGCGAGGCTTGAGTGAATGCTGAGCAGGAATAGGCAATTAGCTCTCAGTGTCAAACACTGAGCCTGTCTCTTCCACATGTACAATAATCTGCTTTAAATCCTCCCACAACCCTGAGAGATGGGCATCTTTATCCCTGTTTGACAGATGAAAGAACCAAGGCCGAGTTAGATACCCTGTTTTGTCATGTTTAATGCTCACTTTGTTGCCAAAATTTTTGAGAGGAAAATAAGGATGCACACTATACATGGGTATAATGATTACATACCATGGGTAGAATAGTCCTGTGTATAAAGTGCACAAATGTGGTGTGCAGTATACACAGCAAAGTACGGGTAAGTGACCTGCTCAAAATAACACAGCAAAATATTTTAGCTCGAAAGGATGTTAAATATCACCTAGTCCAGTGGTTCTCCAGGTGTGGTCCTGGACCAGCAGCATCAGCACCACTTGAAGCTTCTTCAAAAGGCACATCCTGGGACACCCCCGCCAAGACCTGGAAGGGAGCCCAACAATGTGACAGCCCTCCGGCAACTGCGATGCTCACAAGTCTGAGAACCACTGTTCCGGGTCAGTGCTCACACGTGACAGTGAAGGAAACAGAGATTCAAGAGAGGAAGCGATCTGCCTTGGTAACAGAGCAACTGTCAAGTCCAGGACAGCCACTTTCGGCATCACGTTCTCCTACCTGGGCAGCTCACTACGTGCCTTTCACGGGCAGTAAAGGGGAAAGCGTACAGCACAGCAGAGCACACACCTGCCACACTTTCTGGGGACACTCGCTGGCTGGGGTCTGAAACAGGACGGAGATGAGAACACCCTTCCCTTCACACACTAGTGTCTTTCTCCCAAGAGTCTGCTGAACTGTCTGCTTCCTGCCTCAGCCCCCCTGCCCAGCAAAGAGGCCTGGAGGGACAGTGTCAGGGACCAGGTTAGACCTGGGAGGGCATCTGCACACCCCTCAGCTATCAACTTATAAGCTTTGACGGGAAAAAGATCGTGCCTCTCATCTTCTGAAATCCTCATTTCTAAGGCCGTATGCTGGATTCTCACTTCTGCCCCACCCCCTGGCATTACACATCATAGCTAACTGACCTAGACACACCTGCCGGCCCCCAACGGCAGTCTGCTTGGAAGAGGACTTCTCTTGAAGCTGCATTTGCATTGAAAGCATATGTTTTGGGCAAGTTGAGAGATGACATGTTCGTGAGGGGTGGGATTCCAGGGGCTGATACAGATTAAGGAGCTCAAGTCTACACAAGCCACCCCTTTCTTCTGCTATTGCTGGCCACCAACTCCCCACTGTCCTTATAAACTTGTGTTTGAATTGAATCTAAAGTATAGGCTACACTTTTAAGGGCCAGTTTCTTCACCTCTAAAAAGGATGTGCCTGGCAATACAAGAACACAGAACAAGGTTATTGTTACAACAGGGAACGTGGGGGAGGCTGAAACGTACAAACTTTTTAAATGTTTTGAAAAACACCTACCTTTTGTACATGTATCAATATAAACACTGCACACATTTGGGGATAGAGAACAGAATTTACCTTTAGGGCAGACGGTCCCTTTGACCTTGAAAGAACTATGTGAATGAAGGTAGTATGCAAACAGAAAACGCGTACACGTGCTTGGTCCTGGAAGTGGCTTGCCTATCATTGTCTCCACATACTTGCAATAGAAGCAATTTCTGGGGAAAGCGAAATGAAGCGTCTAACTCCTTCCCTTGGAGGATCAGTGTTGTCAGAATGTGTCTGGGACGGGGCGGGGCCCTCTGAGGCCAGGTGTCGGGAAAGAACCTCAGGCTCCCACAGGAGGAGACGCCGCAGGAAGCTGGGGGGTGTGGCGTGGCGCTGTAGTCTTGTAACTTCACCGAGGCCAGAAAGTCCACCTTGCACATAAGACCCCTTCACCCTGGCGGGGAAGGAGCAGGGGGCAGAGCAGGGTAAGGGCTGACTCTTAACCCACTGTCGGAAAGCTTAGGGCGGTCCTTGGGAACAGATAGGGAGAAGAACCCCAAGAAAAAACTGGACTTCCTGATATTTTGGCACATTGGGGCTTACTGTCATTGCAGTGTGGATCTTATTTAATAATAAAAGCTGAAGACCCTCTTTTGTGGCCCCCGGTTCCCAACGCCCTCTGAGTATGAACAAGAAGAAAGAAAAGGGAGTAGCCGATGCCATCACGCATCTCCTGCTGCTCAGTGGCAACGACCCCGCAGGGGGCGAGGGACAGACAGCGACAACCCAGGAGAGCCTTGTGCTCCTCCTCCTCGGCAAACCGGACTCTCCAAAGCTGAGAAAGGCGGATGCTGACAATCACACGCCCAGGTCTCTTAATCTTAATAGTATGTGGGAATGTGTATAAACGTGTTTTTTTAGGATTTTATTTATTTATTTTTAGAGAGAGGGGAAAGAGGGAGAAAGAGAGGGAGAGGAACATCAATGTGTGGTTGCCTCTCATGCACCCCTACCCAGGCCTGTGCCCTGACTGGGAATCAAACCCGAGACCCTTTGGTTGTCAGGCTGACACTTAATCCACTGAGCCACACCAGCCATGGCTATTAATGTGTTTTACACACACACGCACCGCTCTTCCTGGATTTCCCAGAGTCACTCACACGGGGAGTCATCAACTCTCAGGTTTTTTCACTCCTTGAGTGAAGTGAGGAGAGAACACTGAGTGATACATTCCTATCAGCATTATTTAAAATCCAGCTGAAGCTCCCTCCTCCCCTCTGCCCTCCAAAGGCAAACAGAAAACCAGCAGCCTGACAACAAGGGTAACCTGATTCTGCTCTACTGTACTTCTTGAGAAGTCAACTTTTCCCACACTTTAGTACTTTACCTATAATAATTTACATATGACAAATCTCGCCGCTGAGGTGACTACCACAGTCGAGGACATTCACCCTCTAACACTGCCTTTGAAATCGGCTCTCCTCTTTGGAAGAAAGAACGTTCCAGAGTAGCACGCACCATCTTAAGGACTCGTAGATGAGTAACTGATACCCATGGGCTTCTAGCTTCAGGTGCCGAAGGGCTGGCGTATTTATACAGGTTGTGTTTGTCCTGCCACACAAGGAACCGGACTAAGTCCTGACCTTAATGCTTACAACTGAATTTATCATATTTCTGAAACTAAGACACCAACACATCATACGACTAGTAGATTAAATGAAGTTCATGGTCATCGATCCTTTTTCTCTATTAAAGAGCACTGAGCAAATGCCAAGAGAAGGGATTATGGTAATGGGTTTGGGCTAGTGGACAGGATGTCCTTTTCATGAGAGCAACTCTTTAGCTGTGCATTGATGAAAAAAGTGAACCTGGTGTGAGGTGGAAAGAGTAGCAGCAAGAAGACTGTACGCGAAGGGGTCAACTCCACCAGAGACAAGAGCCGAGAAGGGACACACGGACCCAGACCGCCATTCACCCTCCCCTCCGCTGCAGTGACTTGCAGAGAATCGCAGGTTCATAGACTGTACTTTCCTCTACTCGAGTGGGTTTTATTTTATTTGCGACCTCACAATGTAGTAACCAAACCCAAACTAGGAATAATAAAAGCATTTGCCTTGCAATTCCTGTTCCGCCACTGCATCAGCCACATTATATAAGAAACCCAAACCTCTGTTCATCACTTCTTTCAGAACCCATCTATAATTCAACCTCCGCTAAGAACCTTCACACAATGAAACAGCTTTTACTGAGCGATTATACACATCACTTGGACACAAAAGAGCACATTTTTCAAACCTATTTCATGGACTCCAAGGGTTGTCTGCATTGCTTATGAGGGGAGAAAAATGAGCTTTATATGTTGTCCTAGCCACGTTCAGAGTGTGAATGTATTCCCTAATGGAAAGAAAAATGAGTCAGGGCAACAGGGCGAGAGGAGGGGAGGAAGGCAGGCAGGCAAAACCACTGACTCTGACTTCTCGTATGGTACTACTGTGCATTTCAAACGTGATTTTGAGAGACCCGTTCGGAAAAAAGGAGTCGCTTAGAACACCTCCTGCATACCCAGATTGGTTTTCATTTAATGCAGTAAGAAGGTAAGGGCCACAGTCACAATGAAAGAAAACACACACAGGAAGATGCAAACTAAATGAAGAACAGGAAGACGGTGAACAGCCACTTGGCAACCACAAGGGAAGACCCTCGATTCTGCTCCGGAGGCAGCCGCTCTCACATCTCTTGTGACTTCGTAACCTTCCCTCCCACCCCCAGAAGACTACAAGCATAGGGCTGGATTCATCTCTACCACCTGCTTTTTCTTATCTCCCCATGCCAACCTCCTTTGAAGCAAAAGACTCATTAATCCAATTCAAATTGCCAGCATCAGTAAATCCTTTGCCTCGGCATTTAAATGCCAATGCCAATTAAATACCAACAGCAACTTAACTCCTGATAGGATCTTCTCTACATTCAGGAAATCCAGCCTTAAGTCCAGCTAACATTAATTCCCAACACTCCTTCATCAACTCTAGTTTTACTCCATGCCAAGAAATGAGGTCATTTGCTGGCCACGCTGATGACGCATCCAACTGGCAAAGTAACTCCACAAGCAAATAAGAAAGGGCAAACAGATCTACGAGCCACCAAACCTGAAGGATGTCTTCACAAAGGCTTCTGGGCTGTCAAGCTGGGGCAATTCCTCCGCTAGGATTTCTTCCGGTGGTCGGGGGTCATGGACAATCGTTGGCCGCGGCTTCTCCTTGACATTGCCCGTGAGCCCATCGATGAGGGAATTCCACACACAGTTCTGCGACTTTGACCCTAAGTGTGAGGGAAGGAAAGGGGCACCAGTGAATTACCAACTGACGCCAAGCCCTGCTCTGCCCAACTTAAGATTTTCAAAAGCAGAGCAAGGAAATGTGCGTATTTCTCATGACTACCACCAACCTCAGAGGACGCCAAACGATACTGGTCAGGCAACTCATGGAGTAAAAAGCAACCTTTTTAATTCATATGCAAACATAGGCTAACCCTCTGAATATTTTGACTCATAGCAAAGTAAAAGGGATATTATATATTCTGTCTTATTTCAGTCGGCGATCAACTCCAAGTCCTGATAGAGCTATGGGTATTTACTTATGTACTTATTCAGCAATTGGAAAGTACACAAAGGACGACTATTTTAGAGAACAGTAGGGATGTTCCAACACAAATCTCCCCCCTGAGCTCAGCAGGCCTAAGGCCCCGGGTTCTAGACTCTGTTCGGTGGAAACGCCCAACCTGAAGAGGGCGCCACCTTGGAGCCTGCGACTCACTGCAGGCAGGTCCCTTCTGCAAGAGCAAGACCCCTGGCAACTTACACTGGGAAACTGATGTTTTAATAAATCTTCCAATTAGCCTGTGAAAGGCAGAACTACATTGCCTACTTCTCTCATGTTAAAAATACCAATTTGTTAAATGTGAACCATTGAAACACACCACAATTTTCATAAGCTATTTTGGCATTTCTTCATATTTTTTTAATTTTCTGGGAAACTCAAGAAATGGAAATAGCCTGTGTTTCTCTTGACCTTTGAGAGTCCATAGAAGAATTACTCTCATGGGATGATCCATGGTTTGGTTTTTTTGTTTGTTTTGTTCTGTTTTGTTTAGTTTTGTTTTTTAACTCAAAGTTGGCAGAGGTAGATCTTTGCTCAAGGAAATGTTGGGAACCACCAATACAGTTCCCCATGTTCCAGCTGGGAGGCCTGCATGAGCCTGGGACTGGGGCGCTCGGCAAGAAGGCAAACCAGCCGTGAGAAAGGAGGGGGGGGGGGTGTCTGGAAAAGCCTGGTGACAGCGAAGACACAGAGGAAAGGGTGGTGTTGGGAGAGAAGCAAGCAGCATCAGTCTGCGTGGGCAGCTGATGTGTGGAGGATAAAGAAGAGCAAGGCAGCAGGGTGGATTCAGGTTGCTCTTCCACAGCCCAGAAGACCGCGATGCCATCAGAAAACGCTGGGGGCAGAGAGCAGCCTGCGGGCCGCGAGCTGAACCAGGCTCCGAAGAGGAGCTGCTTTTCCAGTAGAAACTATAGACAGAGACCCTCTCCATATTCATGAAGAGGAAGCTGCTGGTGACACAGTGACTCAAATGAGAAAACCGTCTTCCGGCAAACACTCTGTATCATGCCCAAGGTAACAATCTCCACAGCGTGAGAAGGTGAGAAAACTACCCTTCTCACCAACCCAAATGATAAGAAAACTAAAGTACTAATAAATGCTTTAGTACATTATGATTTTAATTTCTAAAAAGAAAGGGAACAGAAAAGGATGTCCGGATTTCACAACGCAAGCAAATCCCTGGCCACACCCAGGAGGTTTCCGCTGACACAGGCAGACGGACGGCGCCTCTTCCTGAGTGTGGACAGGGTCTCACACACTCTCTTACACACACTCCGAGGGGCGCCCAGACGGAATGTTCCGTGCTGTCCCACAGGTGTCTGAGTGTCTGCTCGTCGGTCCCCAACATTTTTCTCTGATGATGTGTATTTGAAAGAGGGGCTTTGATAGCCCCTGTCCCGAAGTGTTCCAGCTGATTTTAGCTGATAAAAGCTGTCATTAAGGAGAACGTGGGCTGTAATTGTAACAAGGATCTAATTGTAACTGCTCCTCACTACAATCTCACCAATAGCCGGGCCCTAAGGCACCCACACCAGACAGAGCCAGGAAGCTGGTATGACACAGGGCATCAAGAGGAGAATTTTACTGATTTCTGTTTTTACCTCTTTCAGAAAGTAAATGATCAAAAACAGTCTGCTTTAGGTGAACGACCCACACAAAATGGGAAAAGCTTAAGAACACTGGAGATGCCCTGGCTGGTGTGGCTCAGTGGATTAAGTGCCAGCCTGCAAACCAAAGGGTTGCCGGTTCAATTCCCAGTCAGGGCACATACCTGGATTGCAGGCCAGGTCCCCAGTAGGGGGTGTGTAAGAAGCAACCACGCATTGATGTTTCTCTCCCTTTCTTTCTCCCTCCTTTACTCACTTTCTAAAAAAGTAAATAAATAAAACCTTTTAAAAAAAAAAAAGAAGAAGAACACTGGAGAAGCCTGGGGGATGAGTTCCCGGATACATTCCAGCCGCCCACAGACTCTGGCACAGTGCTGAGCCCTTCAGAGCCCCATGGTGCGTGTGCAAACCTCACATCCTCCTGCCCGCCAGAAGCTTTGGAGAGGCAGAGAAATGCCAGGCAGCTACTGACTGGTCCAGACTAGAGCCAGTCTTTGGAAAAATAACCTGTCTCCCTTAACCCCTCTTCCCCAACCCCTCCACCAACATGATCAAGGAAAACGGTTAAAGACTTTGCAACGGGCCACAGAGTTCCGTGGGTGTCCTGTGTCTTGGTCGTCTCCATCTTCCGTTGTCTGGGAGCCATTCTGCTGTTCTGTAAGTTGGAGAACACTGACGGGGATGCAAATGATCCCTGTTTCTAGAATGTGGATTGAGTTCCACGGAGAGAGGTCCACTGCTGCCCTGTCCACACTGATGCTACCCGTGCACGGCCGCTCGGCGAAGTGGCCTCAGCCTTCCCGACAGACTCACCAGTGGGCTCTGCGGATTCTCCTTCCTGCCATTCGTGAAGCTGAGCTGCTTTCTTCATCGATTCATGAGTTCAATGAGACCTTTGACACGTGTCCCCTTTGGATTTGTATGGGTTTAAAAAAATGGTCCCTTAGCAGAATCAGTCTTCAGCCGCCCACAGCCAACATTGGCTGTGTCCCCCTGAGAAATCCTCCCGTAATTAGACCAACCCAGTGGTGCTTTTTACATAATGCTCTTCTTTACCCCTGAAACCTTCCCTCGCTCTGAAGTTGGCTCTGTTTGGAATTAACACAGCTTCTCCCGCTTTCTTTTGATTAGTGTTCGAGTGGTATATTCCTCTCCATCAATGTAACTTTAATCTGTATGAGTCTTTTTCTTTAAAGTTTCTTACAGATAACTACAGGTGGGTCTGGTTTTCCAATCCACTCTCATAATCTGTCTTTTAATTGGTGCGTTTAAGCCATTAACATTCAAATAAGTATTGATATAGCTGGATTGATGCCCACCACATTTGTTACTGTTCTCTATTTGCTGTCCTTGTTTTTGTTTTTGTTTTTGTGTTCTACTGGGTTTTGTTGAAGGTTTTTTGTTGGTTTGGGGTTTTTTTTGTTTTTTGCCTTTTGTGGTTTTAACTAGCAACTTACATGATTCTATTTTCTCTTTTTCTTAGCACACTGGTTATAATTCTCTTATTTTTTAAGCGGTTCTTTAGAGCTCACAATGGATACTTCCAGCTAATCCAAGGCCACTTTTGTCCCAAACATGTTGTCATGTTAGGGTGTTGGGATAAAAAATAAAAGCATTTGGAAGCAATTGCTTGGAAATTTGGAGTTTTATCAAGAGTTCCAGAAAAGCAGAGGCTTTGGGGTCACACGTTAGTCACTGAGTTAGTCACTGAGAAGAACTCTTCCTAATCTGGGCCCAAACTACCCATGTCTGGTAATAAAGACCATGGATTGTCTGTTGGTGGCAAACTCCTTTAGGGCAAGAACTGGGATTGGCTGGTGTTCATTCCCCCACATCCAAACTGTCCTTCTGAAGTGAGCCCTTTGTCTATTTCGGAGGTGTCTGCCTCTGAGCCACACGGGCAGAGTGGCCTTTAAGGAAAGGGCTGGTGTTGGGGGGGGAGGCAGGACTGCTGAGAACAGAGCTGTGAGTTTAAAGGGTCTGCCTGCATTTGAGTACCGGGGCCTCTCTTGTGGACCCTCAGCTTCCATCAGGTCTGCTTTGATGGACAGCCTCTGTTTACCCATGGAGAGGAGGAGGAGGGGCCTTGTCCCCACTGTGGTCCATGTCAGAGCAGATGTGAGGACAGTCAGAAGCAGACAGAGGGGAGCAATGAGCAGGGGTAGGAAATCAGGGCAAGAAGAACATTAGGTTGTCCAAGGTCTCCCCAGAAATCCCGGAGGACTGCTGCCCTAGGCCCCCAGAGTGCTCACAGAAGCAACATGAGCCCGTGTACCCAGGTCCCGATGGACCAGGGGCCTCCTGATATCAGGGCGGCACCTCGTCCCCACGCCACAGAGGCTACTCACAGCATCATTGGACAGTCCCCTGGTGAGCCCGCGGCTAACACACAGGGGACAAGTAACAGAGTGGACACAGTCAAACACTCAGTCATGTGTCTTTGAAAAGGGAAAAGCAGAGTGGGTTTCAGTCCACACACACACACATACACACACACACACACACACACACACACGCACTCTTCAGTCCTTCCCTATGACCACAACTACCAACACTTCTCCAGGCCCAGCTCTCCTGAGGCAGTGAGCTTTGAACTGGATTGTTCTGAAGTCCCCATCCGACTAGAAATTTCTCAGGTCTGCGCTAATGGGCTGATACAAGTCTGTCCGTTTACTGGACCAAGCAGACCTCCTTGGCTGCTATCGGCCATGTTGGATGAAAGGGATGGGGAGAGGAGGAAGGCAGAGCCGTGGGGCCTCTGTGGTCCAGAAGATGGGCGAACACAGCTGGGGGGTGACTGGGTTTCTGAAGCACAGGTGTGTCGTGACAAAAACTAGAGTTTGAAGGTGATGGCGCCTGCTGGGGGCAGGGGGAGTGCAAGCAGGAAGCTAGTGGGCCAGCGATAGAGCTATTACCATAAAACCCTGTTGTGAAGGAAAGGCCAGGACCGGTAGAAGCTGGCCTTAGAAGGAGAAAGGGTTAGACTCAAGGAATGATGCAGAGCACCGCCAGTTCTGAGAGCGGCGTAGGGAGACCCTGGGACCATCTTCCATCAGCACCCCTGAAGCCCCTCCAGTAAAAATAAAATAATAGCATACCCTTCTTTGACAATGACAATTAACATTTGCTCTGACTTCTGTACATGTAATTACAAACAGCTATGAAAAAATGCTAGCTGCATCCTTCTGCGGTACAGAAAGTAAGTAGAAACACCACCCTGCTCTGCTGCACCCACCGCCACCTCCACCAGGACACTGGTTCTCTGACTGGGGCCCACATCAGAGCCCCCCCCCCCCGAGAGTTTGCTAAAACACGGGCTGTAGGGACCCACCCCCAGAGCTCCTGCTTTGGCAGAGCTGGCAAGGGATCCGAGGCCTTGTATTTCTAACAGCTTCCCAGGGACAACCCCCCACCCCGCCCCGCTGAGGACCACTGAGCCAGCTTGCTGCCCCTCAGCCTGTGGAAATTCTAGAGCTGCCACACTGCAAGACAACTTCCTGCTGGCACAAGTGGAAGCGAAGATGCTCGGTCCCTGAATGCTGCCGAGATGGGATCCAGAGCAGCACGCTCATCTGAACTGTTTAGGAGTCGCTGCAGCTGCTGAAGACAAATTGGAAAAACTGCTCTGCAGCCCCGGCCCTGTCCCGGGCCCTCTATGGGGGCATCCACCGGACATGCCCCTGAGGACTGTCGATGCCCAGCCACCAGCCACAGCCACTGCCACCCATTGTTCCTTCTCCTTGTTCTCGTCACCCTGGCGCCATAACCCATCTACCTCCTGGCTGTGACAGGTCACTTAGGGAAGGTCCAGCTCTTGAGCTCTGTCAGAGGCGAACTTGAGTTTGTCCTGCACATCACCATCCGGCCCGGCCGTGGGGTTCCCCCTCCCTACACTTCTCTCTGCCCCTGCCCAGCTGTTAGGTAGGTACCCCCTTTGCTTTACCCCCCATGCACCCACATCACCCCTCTTCAGTGGGATCATCTGTTTCTAACACTGTCTGCATTATTACCTCCCAAAATAAAAGAGGCCAGATTTTGGCTGTTTTCTTACTCCTTTTGATACATTATTTTCTTTTCAATGGGGGAGAAATTACTCTCCTCTCAGTCAGGGAAGCAATCGAAACTCCAGAATGGAGTTGCCCGGCTCACAAGCTTCGGGGCCAATGCCTCCCTCCCCTGCCACCTCTTCCACTGCCCTGGGCTCTCCCCACAAAAACTGGGTCCATTGCACGGAGTAGAGCCTCTTTCAAGGCTCCTGGAGCAGAGATGCACAGCAAATTCTGGGCTTTTCCTGCCACCCGGTGGCCATGTCTGGACACTACAAGTAACCTCTGTTCCTTGAAAAGTTACATTGCTTTGTTTTTTTAGTTTGGGGTTTTTTGTTTGTTTGGGGGAGTTTTGTAGGGTGAGATATAATTAACATATAAAATTCTATTAGTGTCAGGTGTACAACATAATGGTTTGATATTTGTATACATTTCAAAGTAATTCCCGGTAAGAACACCACAACCATAGTTACCATCCGTCACTTCACACAGTTACAATCTTTTTTCTTGGGCACTTTAAGATCCACTTGCCTTGGCCACTTTCAAACACACAATGTGTTATTAACTATGGTGAGTAGGCTGTGCTTATGTTACCCTCCACAGCTGTTGTTTGTATTCTGTTTGTCTGGCGTGTCTCACTCAGAGTAGCAAACAGGGGTGGTCTTTGAGGGCTTTGGGTTTGGTCAGCGTGAGACGTTTCCTCCTCTGCTCCTCAGACCCCAGCTGGTTTGTGCTCGACTCCTCTTGGGCTCTCCCCCCCCCCGCCCCCCGTCAGATGAAGCCTGCGCTGGTCGGCTGCACAGCCCCCGCGTTGCCCTGCACACACTACATCACAGCCATTCGCGTGTCCACCTCCCTGGTCAGACTGTGAGCTTCAGACCCTGGTCAGTCTGAAGACAAGGCAACTCCTCTGTGGCCAGGCACAGGAAGGTCTCCAAAATACATGAGCAAGGAAGGGAAGGAAGTGCGGGCCTGGGGAGAAGTGCGATGGCGATTCGAGGCAACCACCCGCACCTGCTGCGCATCCCGGGCTGCAGGCTCCGTGATCTACGGAATTTACCCTGGGGCATCAGGGCCAACGTCCACCCCCGGCCCCGGCCTTATCCAACAACTGAGAGGTTAATGCCTGGCCTATCAGGGGTCCCCGGGACCCTGGGCCCTCACATCGCCCAGGGCCAACACCAGTGCTTCATCTCCCATCTCCACACAAAAGTCCATCACCCAAATCCTTCCAATCTCCCTGAATTGAGTATTTCAGTCCCACCGCACCACCCGATCAAGGCCGCTTCCCGTGGGGTGAAGTGTCAATAAGAACTATTTTTCCCTTCCTAAAAGCCACCGATGTTTTCCCTCTAGTGTTTGCTCCAAAAAGATCTAGTAGCTAACGTGTTGTCTGACTTGTTGCAGAATGTTGCATTGAGTCACAGTTTTTTGCCCTTTTTTTCCCCAGAATCAAAGCAGCTTCATTGGCTTGCCACTAATTCCTTCCTCCCCCTGTGGCTATTTTCCCCTCGCGGCTTCACTTACCTCCCACCACTAAGCTTTGCAGCGTCAGGCTGCCCCCCCAGCCCAGTCGCATGAAGGTGCAGGCTCCACTCACACGAGAAGCCCGCCTCTGCACCCGGGGAAGGGACCAACTGCTCCGGGTTTCGTTCTGGCTTCCCGGTTCACGGGCGCCCTCCCGCCCTGCATCTGGTGATGACCACGGGGACACCGGCGTGGCCGGTGGCCTTCCAGCATGTCGCTGCGTCTGACTTTTGCTCAGGGGATGAAGAAAGATGAGGCCTAGAAGCACCCTCATCACCCTCGTGGAGCTGTGGGTGAAATATTCGCTTATTTTGGAAATGCTGATCCCAGGCAGCAGGGCGGCAGCGACAGGCCCTGCGGGAAGCAAGGGTTTCACGACCCATCTCTGTCTAACCTGTGGGCACACAAGGCTCTCTCATCATCATGTGTTACTCCAGTTCCATAGAAATCATTTCTAGGGGTCAATCCCAATGTGTGGAAGCCCCCAAAAGGCAGAGCTTGGAAGAAGCCCTGTAAACACGGAAGTTACACTTTCAAGCCTGCACGTGAAGTTGGACTACAGTGGGATCCGCACCCAGGACTCGATGGACCCAACGTGAATAAGGCTGCGACCGGGGGGGGGCTGGGCAGCTCTCTCCTGCAGGGACTCCAGAAGAAAGCAGCTTTTCATAAAGGAGAGAAGATGGGTGTGAGTTTCCTGTTTCAGATGGGAAAGCGGAGGCCCGGAGAGGGTAAGGAAAACCACCTGAAGGGAAGGCTGGCTCGGAGGGAGGGGCTGGAAGTGAAAAGCCATCTCTTCTGACTGACGATTCCACCGTCTCTCCACTGGCGCCCACACAGTCACAGGAGTATCTCCACTGCACCCCCATCTCCAGTATGTCCGCTTCCTTCCTGGGACCCGGTTTTCATTAATGTGATGTGTGATTCACCGACCACACCGGCCCAGCAAACCCTGAGAGGCTTTTGACTCCTGCTCTCCCATTTGGATCAAGAACCCAAGGCAAAGGGGCCAGTGACACTGAGGGGCGCTCCATGGCCCTCACAAGTGTCCCTGTGCTGACAGAAACCTGTTCCATGTGTTGGAGCTTCCACATGTCCCCTAACTCAGGGGAAGCCAGCAGAAATCTACTCTAGGTGTCGAGGACACCGTCACAGTGCAGGGACCGTGACGACTACAAGCATTTCACACGCTCTTCTCAGTCTTCATAATAAGCCCACCCACCATGGGGCACTCGGGACCCCCAGCCCAGGGGTCCTCCAATTCCCCACGGATGTTACCGGGCAGAGTCTGGCTTGGCAGGCCTGCGGGGGTGGGCCTGGGGCTCTGCCTCACTCACAAGCCCGCAGGTCATGTCTTCCCTGCTCCCAGAACCACACGAGAATAGCAAAGCCTAGAACAGTCCGGGAAACCAGCAGTTCTAAGGATTGAACCAGCAACAGCAAGGACTAGCCCGCCCGTGATGGGGCTTGCATGGGAAGAATATGAACCCACCAGACGTTTCTTACAGCACTCCCTCACCGGCAGGGTTTTACTGACACTCAGCGGAACTCAGGGGTGAACGCGGCTCAGAAGGGGCCCAGGAAAGGAAAGAGTTACTCACGGGAGAAGCGGGCCAGTGGTCTGGCGGCCTTGTCTCCGGCTTCATTTGCAACTGGAAAAAGAGGAAAGGGAGACGTGGTGAGAACGAGGCACGTGTGCAAACAAAACCCAAAAGCCCGAGCTCTGGGTGGGTCGACAGGCAGCTGTGTGTGAGAGTCTTCGTAAGGAATACAAGCAACCTTACCTCTGCTCTCCCTGAATAAAGCTGGAGAGGACCTACGATATCGAGCTAACTGAGCCTGAAGCAATTAACTAGCTTGTGTCCACTTAGTAAGAGGTGTGCAGCCTGGCTTCTGAGCCACGGCACGTCTGTCCTTCCATCTCGAGCCTCCTGTCACTGGGCCGCCCCTCGGCACACCAGGTGCACCCCAACCAACGGCCAGAAGCCTGATTTGCTCAGGTGAGTAGGGGCAAAGCCAAGGCAGGGGTGTCAGAAGATATCAAGGCTGGTTTTTACTAAAGGGTATTTAAATTTAGATGCTAACAAACAAGGGGCTTCAACATGGGGGGGCCGAGGAAGCACTCGGTCCCTGAGAACAGCCTCAGAGAGCCGCGTGAGGTCACCTCCCCCTCAGGCTTCCCGTCAGGACGGTGGCCTCCTCTGAAGAGGCCCTACATGATGAATCAGGTCCACGGGGTCGTTAACAATATCCCTGTGTTTATAAACACCATCTTTGTGATTAAACAGAGGTCAGTGATGGCCCTGGCTGGTGTGGCTCATTTGGTGTGGCTGTCCCGTTAGGCCAAAGGGTTGTGGGTTCAATTTACGCTCAGGGCACATGCCCAGGTTGTGGGTTCCCCAGTGGGGGACTCACATAGATATTTCTCTCCCTTTGTCTATCTGTCTGTCTATCTCTCTCTCTCTCTCTCTCTCCCTGCTCCCATCTACAGGCAACGAAAAACGTCCTCGGGTTAGGATAAAAAAGAGGTCAATTATCAAGTAGAAAGACAAAATTCCCTCACGTTAAATATCACTGTTCATGCCCACAAGGACTGTACTTTGGTTGTTCTCTATACACAGTCAAAAAGCACATAGATGTCTATGGTCCACCTGAATGCAAACCCAAAGCACTCGACTGGAAAAGTCTGGTCATCTGAGTCTAGAAAAAACACTCAGTACAGACACAGGATACAGATCGCGGATGCATCACTGGTCCCAGCAGCAGGACAAGAGAAATAACTACTTCATAAATGCAAGTCATCATTGCACAAAGAATGGAAGGAGTCAAAAAAGTCCTTTCACCCTCTCACAAAGGGTGAACGTTTTTTTAACTTTCTACACGTGGACGATTTTTTAAACTAAGGATTCCATATTTTTAATTAAAGGAAGTCCACTTCCGCGTTTCTGTGGTTTACGATGCCCCCTCCGCTCTATTACAAGCAAGACATTACACCAAGTGAGCAGCAGGGGAAAGTGACATTGCGTCCTGCTCGCCTGACCCCCCCCACCCACAGCCCAGCAATTCAAAAGGAAAGAGGGACAGACAGACAGACAGAGAGTGCGAAGGAAGGGGCAGAAAGTGCGAGCCCAAGCCAGGCGTAGACACGAGCTTCCCTGGCCTTGAGTCCCAAGCACCTCCTCTTTAGACACCGCAGATCTCTGAAGGAGGAAATACGGCAAGGGTCTTCCCAAAATATTTGCTGCAGAAATGGGCAGGCTACTTTTACAGAAGGATTACAGAGCCCACGGGAGTCCCTGAGAACGCCAGCCACCCCTAAAGCCTTCCGCTTGGAGAGTCAGGCTCCCGGGAGCAAGAGGTGCGGTGATATCACTGTCACTGTTAGACATGCAGGGATGGCGGCTGACAGCTCCACTCCCACCCAAGGGTGGGAGTTGCTGACCCAGATCCCAGTCACACCAGGAGGGGCTGGCATCGAGGTCCAGGCCAGTGGAGCACCGGGAGAGTCGTCCCAGCCCAGGAGGGACTTGACCCCTGCTACCAGCTTTGTTCTAGACGCAGGCCCACCACGCTCCCTGTTATAAGATACAGCTGCCTTGGCCAGGTATTAAAACCTGGCCCTACCTATACCCCCTAGCTCACTAGATTGCCCAGAGCATCCTTATCACATGCTCTAAACTGAGAATTCCCAAACACGCCCTTCACACTCTGCTCCTACTGCGTGCTCCTCCCCTGGCCACTGGTCACGCCTCCCTCTGCGTCACTGGCCAGCTCCCCCTCATCCTTCAAGGTCCGAGTGGAGCCATTCATTTCTAAAAGCCACCCCCACATGCCCACCACACCTCACAGACCTGCGCCCCTCGGTCCAACTCCCCTGCCCGGCCAGTGGTTCTCGAGCTGCCGCAGGCACCAGAACCACCAGGAGGCTGTGTGAACGCAGATTGCAGGACTCCCTAAAGTGAAGATCCCGACTCAGTGGGTCTGGGGTGAGGCCTGGGTTCCTTGGTGATCAACTGAGGATGCTGCTCTGGGGGACTTCAAAAGTGCTGGCACCTAGACCACAGCCCAGACCAATCAAACAGGGGCTGGGGCTGGGAGTGGGACTGAAGCACGGGTCCCTGTCAGACTCCTGGTGACTCCAAAGAGCAGCCAGGACTCAGAAGCACGGATAAATGGTGTGACTTCATACATCTTTACCAAAGCAACATTCAGGGAGGAAGATGAGACTTGGGTTCCTTCAAACACAATTCTTCTCAGGCTGCTACTGTTTTGTCATTAAAATCCTGACCAAAAAAACAAAAACAAAAAACCAACAGAGCACTGGCCAGTGTGGCTCGGTTGGTTGGGCATCATTGCCCCAAAGCAAAAGGCCACTGGTTCCTTTCCTGTTCAGGGCACAGGCCTAGGTTACAGGTTCAGTCCCCAGTCTGGGCACATGATAGAGGCAACCAATCAACGTTTCTCTTACATACCAATGTTTCTCTCCCTCTCTTTCTATCTCCTTCCCCCTCTTTCTACAAATAAATAAATAAAATGTTTTCCAAAAAAATTCCTGAACAAAAACATGACTCTGAGAAAAGTCAACCACTGAGACCACAAACAGCGCTGGCCGGTGGCTCCACTGGCTGGAGTGTCACCCCATTCTCCCCAGAAGGTTGGGGGTCTGGCTCCCAGTCGGGGCACGTACCTGGGTGGAGGCTTTGACCCCTGGTTGGGGAGCGTATGGGAGGCAACTGACCGATGGTTCTCTCTCTCTCAAGTCAATGAACATACCCTCAGGTGAGGATTAAAAAAAGAGGCAAACACAGCTACGGGGATCAACTAGTGGGCAGCTGTCGCGCTGGGAGTGAAGGGCTCTCTATGCAAGATCCGCCTCACACAGCCTCTGCCTGCAGTGCGTGTCCCGAGGGCCCCCTGGGAGCTCAGAGCCGGGCAAGACTCTGCTGGGGTGAAAACAGCAGATTCCACTCGGCCTCAACAGGTGAGCAAGTGAGGGAGGGAAGCCATGGGATTCAAGTTTCCTCAAGTGTGGTCAGCTATGGAGCTGACGTTAAGATGATGACGATATGATGGTGATGATGATGATGACAACAGTGATGATGCTCATGCAGATTCCTTGGTCCTAGCCCCAATCCACTAAATCAGAATCCCTGCACGTGGAGACAGGACCCTAGCAGTTTTAAAATCAACTGCCTCAGAAGCTACACTCATATTTCAGAAGCAGCTTTTGAAATGAAGTGTTCCCCTGGTGTGTGTGCTGTATGTTCCCCACCCCAACCCCAAATGGCCAGAAACAAATCTTGAAGTAAGGCTTGCCTTACTTCGAGATTTGGAGGGGGGTGGGTGGGAGGAAGGCAGGGGAGACAGCAGGTGAACTAAAGCCATGGCGTCCTGACCCCAGGCAAAGAGGGCAGCTCTGATGTCCCAGCTAAGCCACAAACACCACAGACCACCAGAACAGGGCAGGGCAGAGTGGCCCAAACAGTCAGGGTGGTGGCCCGAGCAGGTGCTCACTGCTTTGTAACCAAAAGGAGCACCCAAAACACTGCCGCCTTGTTTTGAAAGCCCTGGCACCTGGGCGAGTGTAAACGCAGCTGGGGTGCAGGGTGCCAGGGCAGAGTGAGCCAACTGGGGCGGGGCAGCCTGGCTTCCTGTGAGGGGCCATGGCGCCCACTGCTCTCGCTCAAGCTCCGGGACCCCTAGGTGAGGTCCTCTGGCGGCCTGGGGCTGAAAGGCTAGGCGCAAGGGATGCCCAGCGAAGAAAAACGCCCTGGAAGGAGCTGGCAGCGTCTTCCTGGTTCCTGTGGAGGGTGCAGCTTAGAATGGCTCACGGGCATTGGGCCTCACCTCACCCTGCCTTTACCTGGCAAAGACCTGGGCCAAGGCTGCAGGGAGAGAGGCTTGGTCCAAGGTCATCATCAACTACCTGGGCTGAGCGGTCACCTCCCCAGTAAGGCCCTCCATGACCATCATACTAAGATCACAGCCCCCGACTCCCCTCTTCCTCTGCCCCAGCCCCTGCCCCGCTCTCCCCGCACCCCAGCACACAGCACTTTTCACCTTCAGCCCCTGGGGGGGTTTCCTTTCTCCTCCCACTACAGTATGAGCCCCATACAAGCGTGGACTCTCTGCCCATGAAAAACCTACTATACCCCCAGGGCCTAACGGCCCAGGACACAATATTCATTGTACAAATCAAGGACCAACCTTCTTCTGACGCACCATGCAGTGCGTGATGGGGCCAGGACCTGGGAAAGCTGGAGGAACACGACGGTGCCAGAACATCAACACGCACCAAGCATTTATGTGTGCTGCGAGTGTTCATCCCGCCCTGCAGAATAGTTTTCTAAACCCAACTGAAATGCAGACACCAGATGAAGGCTCAGACAACCAGTCACAGCCCCAGCCTTCACACTGAATGTGACTGTCATTCCCATTTGATAGGCAGACAAGACACGGGAGCTCAGAAAGGTCAGGTCGCTTTTCCAAGACCACACAGTTGTGGGTGTGGCAGAATTCCAACCCAAACCCAGGTATACCTGTCTCCAAAGCCCAGGCCCTTCCCATTTCGGCTCTTTGCCTTCCACAAAGGGTCAGCAGATAGCAGCTGTGACCCCTAGGGAGGGCCACATTTAGGGAAAAGTCTCACCAA